TTAAATTTAGTCTCGTTAGGCATGCGCAAAGGCAGAGACTATTGGAAAATGAAATTAAGCCAGCGTTATTATATGTGCAACCATCACGCATGATTTCATTGCTAAATACATCTTGCTATAAAAATGAAACTCTAGTAGTACTAAAATAGAATATTATGATTGGAGCAAACATTCTGTGGAAAATAACTCGCCGATAAATTAACCTGATGGGTTAAAAAACAAGCTTGAATTCGAATAACAGCCGGTCTAGACAAATATTATACATTTTGCTGTGGTCACTTTAGGAGGGCACATTTTTGAAAATACGACTTTGGTGGTTTACCGAATTGATCAATAAATCTCATTTCAAAACTTCCTTTAAACACATTGAAATAATCAGAATTTTCAGCTTGTTCAGATCGGATGAAACACATCTGCTGTGCTACGCAAAAGCTGAATCGAAGCAAAATTAAATAGGCTATGCGTTGCAAGTTTCCCACATATTTGCAGACGTTAACTAACAAAGTCCTCTGATAGCGAAGGAATGTAACAGCCAGTAATGATGAACCTAGTTATTTGTCTTTTTTACCGTTAATTACATGGGTGAAGTAATAGTGGCTCCCGCTTCATGACTAAACTGCAGTCGTTATCAAGATCCAAGACTCACATTGCCATGTTTTCTCTTGTCATTCAATTCAGAAACCTTACCCAATCTGATTTAAATTCATGAGCTGCGCAGTTACATTTTTAAAACCATTAAACACGGTAAAATTACGTTCAAAGAAAGAAAGTTGTCATATTTCAGTGTCTTGATCTTCTGATATAAATGAAATTAAGCAAAGAGAAAAACGTACAAACAAGGAGGCTTGTTATGAATCTCAGGTATGTAAATATTGATAGATACAAATTCCATCGGAGCAAGGTGTGAATTAGAAGGTAGTCCTTTAAAAACTTAGCTTAATCACGTCGGATGCTTCTTTGACTTCATTAGGCTCATAGCGGTACGTTTTTGAAAATTATATTTGGGTGTCAAACAAATTTCACTTTTCAGCTTTCTTGCATTTCTAGCAACAAATGGACATAAAACAAATAAATGAGTCAATCTTATTGTGTTTTCATCAATTTTACTTTGAAACGCTACTCCATTACCGAGTCGAAGTTGATTCAAGTATGGCAAGAAATCAACCGACGTTTTTAATAGCGTCAGATTGTTTCAGAGAAGCGTGTTACAAATCGCCTATGAAATGTTGCTTCATAAAAGTCAAATCTCCAATTTCTTCCGATAGGGCTGCCGTTCGGAGTTTTGAATCTTGCTTTCATGAAAAGTAAAAGCCGAGCATTTGAATGATTTCAACACGTATCGATGTTAGGTTTAACCATGGAATCAAAACTATCAAACGTTTTACTTTAAGTTCGATGAACGATATCGGTGGTTAGGCTGTATCGGAGTAATGGTCTAAAAGATCTATGTCAAGTTCTTTACTGATGGTTTTAAAAAAACGTTGAAACCTATAAGGTTCTCATGAAACTGAGGTAAAAGCGGTGTAAACAATGGAAACCTCCAAATGCAATCTAAAATTAAATTGCTTTTAAAGCTGTCGGAAGGTACAGGATACTATAATGACTGATTAAACATCGTACTTACCAAAGACTTTGTCTTGAACACATTGCAATTAATGATAAAACTTGAACTTAGTCAGATTCTGAAAGAAAAATACTTGAACAACACAGAAAAAAAGGAACTTGAGATATCTATATCGCATTACAAAATCAAAACCTGTCGAGAATTGTGACGTTAACCATTTTCTTTCGGTTTGTGTTGAAGTAAAAAGAATCACTTGCGTCAAACACTTTTCCTGTAATTTTTATTCATTGTCCAGAAGTCACATTCCGAAGAGGGAAACCAACGAATGAGTTCATCTGCTCGATTGCGTAATAGTAACTCGCTGAAGCATTTTTTGTAAAAGAAGTAGTTTGCTATCGTAAACCAATCCTTTAAAGAACTGAAATTAAGCCTGGAGCAGAGATGTATTGTAACTCAACTTAAATGTCTTGCTGTTCTGATTTCCTGATTGTTTTTTGGGGGTCGTTCAGAAGGATCATGTACCCAAGAAATAAAATTTACAAATATCATATATCAGCCCTTCATTCCTTAACATTGCTATGCATACTGTCCTTACTGTTCACGACATGTCCTATCACGGTAATGACAAGGAGAATTTGTTTAACAATCAAGAGCTATAAGTTTGTGATTAGTTTTTTTCATTCTCACAGCCTTTATGTTTGATTCAGGGGTAATACTATGGGGAGAAATTAGATGCTTATCACTGTTAGGTTATTAAGGGTCAATGGCTTATTTATTACTTACTTACTTATTACCCATCATGCCTGTGTGGCACATAGGGCAGCAACGAAATCCTTCCAACCCTGTCTATATTTAGCCAGTTTTTCAATGGTGCTCCAGCAGTAATTGAGCCCCCTTAGTCTCTTCTCTACTGTCCTGCGCCTTATTTATTAAATATCCAGATATTCGTGTAATCTGAAATATAGGGATTGTTGTCGGTGACAGTGATTGACGTTTCTACAACCCGAGCGGAAGTCATCACCTGAGTCAAGCCATCGACTCTGACGAGGACTTCCTGTTTATTTTCAAACATCAGTCACTCCAACCTTTTTTAGGACTAATGCAGTTATGTAGCGAACATTTCAAAAGATGGTTAGAATATCCAACGGGAATAAGATCTTTAGATTGTCTTTTAATCATTTCTGATGATTTTGTCGACGAATACAAGAGAAAAACTTGGTCAGGACATTTAACGAGACGGCAAAGGTATATTTGTCCTCGTTCTTGCCGGTGCCAGTGTATTGGAGCAAGTACACACACACAGCAGTGGCCTTGTTTAAGAAGAGGACCAGTGTTAGAAGAAATAAAAGCATAATTATTTGATGATCTTTTCTTAACGTTCGTTGCACAGAGAATTTACAGTACTGTGGGTCCATTTTTTAACTTTGGCTTTCCTCCACGAGAGAAAAAATTCAATAGTTAAATGCAAGATAAGCAAAACTTCATGGTTTTAAAACTCCTCTAAACAGTAATGTTTAATGCAAAACATTTCACAATCCTTACAGTTAATTAAAGCATGCAAGTGATTTCAACAAATGAGAAGAGACCTTCTAAATCTGCTTTCCAAAAGAAAAATAATACTGAACAACCATATCCTGGTTAAATGAAAGCAATAATTGCATGGGATGAAAAGGGTGAGGGAAAGGGCAACAGCCCTGCCCTACCCCTCCCCCATTCAACTTTTTTTTAACATAAAACACTTCTAAATGACATTCACTTTTTATAACATGCAACTAATTTTTACAAATGGGAAGAGACCTTCTAAAACTGCTTTCCCATAAGAGAATTTATACATTATCACTATGTAATGATAAACTGAAAGCCTTAAGAGCAGAAGGTGAAAAGGGTCAGTGAGAAAGTCAACAGCCCCACCCTCCTCTCCCCCTTCCCTCCAAATTCTGATATACTGATTAACTAAAAACAATTGGTGCTCAAGGTGAAAAGAATGAGTCAGAAATGCAACAGCCCCACCCTCCCCTCCCCCCTCCAATCTTTTCTTAAGGTAAAACACTTAGGCATGCAGATTTAAAATACTTAAATTAAACTTGCAAGTAATTTCTACAAGTAAAAGACACCTTAATCTGCTTCCCAGGAGAGAATTTACTATAATACAAGATTACTGTTATAATATTGATTAATTAAGAGCAACTAGTGCCCAGGGTGAAAAGGATGAGGGAGAAATGCAACAGCCCCACCCTACTTTTTTAAGGTGCAACACTTAGTCATGCACCCTTAAAATACTTTAAAAATCCAACTAATTTCTGCAAATGGGTAGAGACCTTCTAAATCTGCTTTCCCACTGAAGAAATGTAAAATGGTTTCCGTGTTTACATAGCCTGATGTAAACATGCAGGAGGTTGGGAGAACACGAGATAAGCGTAGGAAACCACGACGCGAAGCAGAGTGGTTTCCAGCTTATCAAGTGTTCTCCCAACCTCCCAAGTGTTTACATCAGGCTATGTAAACACGGAAACCATTTTACATTTCTTTTATAAAATAACTAATGAAAGAGCCTCTTCTTGCAACGAAGGAAAGCGACGTGCTTGTTGTTGTTGTTCATTTGGCTTTTCGGCTGTTTCTTGAATACTGGGAAAATGAAACTCCAAAGAAAAATTAGGAAAATCCTCTTCTTCCATTACTGTACTCAAAACAAACTTAAAGAAACTGAGTTACTGCTAAATAAATAGCAGGGAGAACTCCGCGAGAAGATTCAGTATGAAAACCGTGTTTACATACGCTCATGTAAAATGGTTTTATGGCCAATCAGAGCACGCGCACTATTTGAATTATTTTATAATATATATTGATTAACTGAAAACAAATCTTAAACAATCTTTCACAAAAGGAAAAGCTTCTCAAAATTCTTCTCTCGAGTAAAAGCTTTTACTGGTCAACTGCTATAAAAAAATTTCTGTTAATAAACAGCAACCTAGAGCCATTTGCTGAAATAATCCTAAAATGAACTTAATTGGTAAACTGACATGTTGAGTTCCTGGAATATGCACAAACAAAAGTAGCTGTAAGTTTTGGTCTTTTTTAATCAGAAAATGATGAACAAGTAAGATACCAAGTTAGTTGTCATGGACAGTCTTCTTAGTATGGTTGTTAGCTTAGCCATACACTCATGGGACTCCATATTCCAAAAAAAACAGCTGCCTAAACTTGGTAGCGTTTTTTGCTCATCTCCCGTTTTTTTCTTGCTTTTTGTTTTTGTTTTATTTTGGTGTTGTTGTTGTTGTTGTTTTTAACAGTGAAGCTCGATTGTCACCACAATTCTTTCTCCATTAAATGTGCATTCTGGGGCTTCAGCATACGATTTATTCACATCAACATGAAAATTTGAATAATTTTTTTGTAATTTTTCACCATATCGACATTTTGTCTTTTTATTGCATCATTCCAAGTTTCTTTTAAGGCAAAAGTTTGGTCTTGTCACACAATGCATTCAGAAAGACCCTGTTGCATGACAAGACTAAACATTTGATGCACCATGCCACCAGTTTTTGACTTATTTTGTATCCATAAAATCTTCACAACCATAAACTCCTTCATTTGCCAATCAAAAGAAAAAAAATTTAACCAGCCTAAAAAATTGTGTTAAATGCAGAAGCTACCCCTGCTTTACTGGCCAAAAAAAACGTCACTATAAGTAGACATAAAATACCATACTCAAATGGTAGATACAGAGAGGAGAGCCATGAATCTTCAGGCCTGTTTGGAACTGGTTCTTGTAGACTTCATTCTAGTCCTTTACAAGCAGGGTCTTCTTTACTGCAACAAAAATGTTCATATGTTAATAAATACTATACTCAGAACTGTTTAAGCTTACAGAGCTTATTCCAACCATTTTAGGTGATATGGAGAGACTCTACCAACAGACATGTTCTACTAATCCAGAAAACAAGAGATTTGGGTGACATGTTAGTGTAAAGTATAGACTTGCCTTTTTCAGTTAACTATCAATATTTCTTCTCCTAATTGAAAAATACTAAAACCAACTTTAGTTATCTTCAGGGAATGAAAGGTAAAATGTAACCCTTTTAATTCTGTCAATTTAACATACTAATTTTTTACATCTCCTCATGTGAAATGATTGCAATAATAAGATTTTGGAGTAATAACCAAAATAATATTCATAATAACATTGATGATGATGATGATGATGATGATGACATGAAAAGAAGTTGAAGAATAATATCGACTCAAAAGCCAGTGTCTGTAAGCTAGTCATTGTAACTCAGGTGTATGTTCCAAATTTTAAAACTTACCTTTACTCTTGAGGTCAATTCTCACATCATCTCCAATCAGCATAAAAGGAGCCCACTGCGAAACTTTGGTGAACCTGTTATTTCTCATCCACTTCATGGCCTGGTGTAGAGATTCACTGGCACTTTCTCCATCAGCAAGGTGTGCGTAGAATTGGTTCATGAGTTGCTCCGTTGCTGTGTCCTCCAGGGCCCACCGTGAAACTAACACCGAGCGAGCACCGGATCCAAGGAACGCACGAGCTATTCCAACCACACCTTCGCAGTTGATTTGACCGCGGCCACTGTGACAACAGCTAAGTACCACCAGTTTAGCTCGCAGTTGAACTTTTGAAATATCCTCCATGGTCATAAGGTAGTCTTCTTCTTGCGAAATACCAGTGCTTTCAGTTCTACGATTAGGAGCTAAGGCAATTTGTCCCCTTTCTGCGTTACCATGAGCGGCAATATGGATTAGACTCACACTGTCTATTCCGTTGAGTACCGCCTGCTTAGTTGCGTGCTCTCCTATCAAAGGCTGGACATCCATCAGTCGTCCAATCATTTCTGCTTCCCTTCTTGCACAAGGCAGTGCTGTGATGTCTTTGGGAGCTCCTTTGTAGAGCACCACGCCAACCTCCGGATCGCCCACTATCAGTGCACCGGTGTGGCTGTGATAGTCCGCTGGACTGTCCTGAATGAGCTTGAGAGTTGTCAAAGAAGGGGCGATACGGATCCTGAACTTCTCTGTTAGAAATTTCTCGCCAGTCTCTTCACGCAAGGCTGCAAATGGGATTCGGAACATGGACCGCTCGGGAACAATGACGATTTCAGGCCCTGTGAGTAAATTGGCCACAGGAGCAATAATCAATTTGTAAAACATTTGAAGATCCCTGTCGGTGTCTGCGGTTTCATTTCCTCGGAAAGGGGCTAAGCTCTCATCATGATAATCCGTGTCATCCAGTGATCGATCTTCACAAAGCTCTCTGGGTAACACTCCAAAGCTGCGGAAGCTTTTGTTGAAAAGGTCATCCAAATCAACAACATGCTCGGCCATCAAAGTGGGGATATCAGCTTCTTCTTCCTCTGAGAAGTACGTGTCTTCACCCGGTTTCAAAATCGCAGCACGAACGCTTCTCTCATGATACGAAAGGTACAGATAAGTACAGTTACTTTCGTTACTGATGAGCTTTTCAACCCCAGACAGTGATTTCAAATCTGCTGAGATGTGGTTTACTCCAGGAGAGTACTTGGCTGCAATCAAATCTGCTAAGGCTCTAGCTCGCCCCAGTTCTTCCGCGGAAAAGGCCTCGCGGGGACTTCCGGTGTAGAATAGCATTAAGCTGAACATCTTGTACAATTGATACTTCTCCAAAAGAGGTATTGACAACTGTTCATTGTGTTTATTGAAATTTCGAAGCTTTTCAAATAATTCAATGCTTTGTAATAGGTACGAATGTGCTTCCTGAGTCTTTAAGAGTGAAAACTTCACCTTCGTAAGTGCAAAAAGGATGAAGTGCTTCAAAGATTCCCATTCACTGATGCTGCTTAACAAGAGTGCCCTCTCTAAATATTCCTCGGCCTTGATAAATTTACCAAGACTAAAGAATTCCATTCCTAGTTTAAGGTAAACTGATATTATTTCAATCCTATTGCCAATTTCTAAAATGATCGCAAGTTCTTTCTCCAGATACTCCACTGCCTTCTCATGGTCTCCCAACGCGGAATGAAAGTCTGCTTGGTCCTCGTAATCAGCCGCTAATTCTTCTCTTCCGCCAATTTCCATCCTGATTCCGTGTGCTTTCTGAAAATATTCATTTGCCGTTCGATTGTCGTTGACACTCAAAAAATAACGTCCTAATGCGCTGTAACATTCTGCTTTACCCTTTTTGTCACCAGTATCTTCCATGAGTAGGAGCGATTTCTCGAGATATTCCTTTTGGCTCTTAATGTCACCACTAAACGAAGACAAAAGTGCTAGACCATCATACGCTCTTCTTTCATCTTCCCTGACACCATTTACTTTTATGATATCCAATGCTTTCAGAAAACCTTCTTTTGCATCTTCAAATTTATGTTGTGCTAGATACGAAGATGCCAGCATTAACCTACACCATCCTTCCTCTTGTGTGTCACCAGAGTCTTGAGATATGAAAAGAAGTTCCTCGCAGCATCGTTCGACATTTTTTAAATCAAAGATGTCCCAGTATGCCTTGAACAGCTCTTTTAAGATATCAGAGTAGAAAAATTTGAAATTGTCGTCGTCAAGCCACTGTGAGTTATCCAAAAGTAACATTAAGCATTCCTCCCATAATTGGATCGCTTGTCGAGGACGGTTAGTGTTTCGCAGGAATTTGGCAACGACCAAACCAATTTCCATGGTTGTGAGGTCTTTGAAAATGCTGTCTATCGCGGGCTTCAGTCCCTGTTAGGTTAGGAGAGATGAGAAGAACTTATATACAGGATAAACTGACAAATGTTCAATAAAGATGTTTTAACGCGCAAAGTTAAAATCCCCAAAGAAAAAGAAGGGAAGTTTTACTTGGCTCGAGTCAAGATTTTTCAATTTTGCTCTAGCAATGGAGAACGTAGATAGAGTTCTGCTTCATTTCAATACAATTAAAATGCAATAATGATAATTAACAATAACTGGGGAGGTTGAACAATTAAAATAATTTTCCCGCGAGCAACTGAGGAACACGATGTTGATACGTTGGTTTTATGGCCGCCTATGTTCGTTGATTACTTCAGGAAAAGTTTATTCGCTTACGGTTTAAAGTATTTGATACGGTCTCTATGGTGTTTAAGTCCATTTGAATATATACTGGTCAATATGTAGTGCATTCTGTATTTACAAGCATAAGTGTTATTCGTGGGTTAGTGTTGTTAATTTTTTTTCTCTAAAAGTTTGGTTATGTCCTTGAACCTGTCACGAAACCAATTAAGTCCTTGTTTAAACTTCCTCGCATGACACTAATAAACGAGCTTCAGGCTTGTATTTCATAAATCAGATCAAACACTGAAAACGGATTTACTATTTTTGAGTTTGGTTTGTTGTGGATCCGTTTTCAACAAAGAGGTGAGTGTGGCTAGTTACAGAAATATCATGCACCGGCCAACAGCTGGTTGTTTAACCCTTTCACCCCTAAGACTGACTAGCATCTAATTTCTCCCCACAATGTCACCTCTGAATCACACATTAAGGTCACGAGAATAAAGGAAATGATCACCAACTAAAGAAGCTCTTGATTGTTAGACAAATTCTCCTTTTCAGCACCTTAGGAATGTATGAAGAATAGTATGGAGAATATGCATGTTAGAGTGTAAAGGGTTAGACACAGAGAGGGGTGATTTAATTTTTTGATTCTACTGTACAATTACGTGACAGTGGGTCTGAAATCATTTCTTAATATATAGGAACCTTTTTAGAAACAACTTCAAGCATCCTGCAGGAATTCATAAACACAATCAGATTTTCATTCCTGCGTATATATGTGTTGGCGTGACTTACTATTGAAATTGAAAATCATACTTAAATTTAGTCTCGTTAGGCATGCGCAAAGGCAGAGACTATTAGAAAATGAAATTAAGCCAGCGTTACTATATGTGCAACAATCACGCATGATTTCATTGCTAAATACATCTTGCTATGACAATAAAAAAATTCGAGTCTGGTGGTTTACAGAATTGATCAATAAATCTCATTTCAAAACTTCCTCTAAACATATTGAAATATGAGAATTTTCAGCGTGCTCAAATCGGGTGAAACAGATCTGCTCTGTTACGCAAAAGCTGAATCAAAGCAAAATTAAATCAGCTATGCGTTGCAAGTTTCCCACATATTTGCAGACGTTAATTAACAAAGTCCTCTGATATCGAAGGAATGTAACAGCCAGCAATATTGAACCTGGGTATTAGTCTTTTTTACCGTTAATTACATGTGTGAATTAATGGTGGCACCCGAATCAAAACTAAACTGCAGTCGTTATCAAGATCTAAGACTCACATTGCGATGTATCCTTTTATCAGTAAATTCAGAAACCACACTCAATCTGGTTTGAATTCAAGAGCTGCGCAGTTACATATTTAAAACCATTAAACACGGTAAAATTACGTTCAAAGAAAGAAAGTTGTCATATTTCAGTGTCTTGATCTTGTCATATAAATGAAATTAAGCAAAGAGAAAAACCTATAACGAGGAGGTTTGTTCTGAATCTCAGGTATGTAAATATTGTTAGATACAAATTCCATCGGACCAAGGTGCGAATTCGAAGTTAGTCCTTTAAAAAACTTATTTCAATCACGTTGGATGCTTCTTTGACTTCATTAAGCTCATAGCGGTACGTTTTTGAAAATTACATTTGGGTGTCAAACAAATTTCACTCTTCAGCTTTCTTGCATTTCTTGCAATAAATGAACATAAAGCAAATAAATGTGTCAATCTTATTATGTTTTCATCAACTTTCAAGTTTAAGTTTGTTCACTTGATGTTTAATAAATGTTAGAGCGAACTGAATAAATTTAAATGAAGCCACTTCAGTCATAATACTGGTATCGAGCTTTCTTGAACCGTATTCAGATTGCTATAGGGTACATCTGTAAAGTTAGAAAATCGTGAACAAATCTCATATCGTAGTTTATACATGCATTAGATTAGTATATCGACACAGATCTTCTTCGGGTCAATTGGACTTTGAATCGCTGCTCCATTACCGAGTCGAAGTTGATTCAAGTATGGAGAGAAATCAACCGACGTTTTTAATGGCGTCTGATTGTTTCAGAGAGGCGGGTTACAATTCGCCTATGAAATATTGCTTCATAAAATGTAAATTTCCAAGTTCTTTCGACAGGAATGCAGTTCGGAGTTTTGAATCTGCTTTTCAATATAAAATTCTCAAAAACGTGTTATTTGCAAACCATGCTAACAGAAAATTCAAAGCCGAACATTCGGAATGGTTCCACTACGCTTTGATGCAAAGTTTATCTATAGGATCAAGACTATTAAACGTTTCACTTCAAGTTTGATGTAGCATATCGGCGATTAGGCTATATCGAAGTAATGGTACCATATAAAAGGCCTTCACTAACTTTAAAACTTACAAGTTACCCATAAAACTGAGGTAAAAGCGGTGTAAACAATGGAAACCTCCAAATACAATTAAAAAATATAATTGTTTTTAGAGCGGTCGGAAGGTACAGGATACTATAATGACTGATTATACATCGTACTTACCAAAGAATTTGTCTTGAACACATTGCACTTGATGATAAAACTAGAACTTAGTCAGATTCTGAAAGAAAAATAGATGAACAACACAGAAAAAAGGAGTCTTGAGATATTTATATCGCATTACAAAATCAAAAACTGTCGAGAATCGTGACGTTAACCATTTTCTTTCGGTTTGTGTTGAAGTAAAGAGAATCACTTGCCTCAAGCACTTTTCCTGTAATTTTTATTCATAGTCCAGAAGTCACATTCCTAAGAGGGAAACCAACGAATGAGTTCACCTGCTCGATTGTGTAATAATAACTCGCAGAAGCATCTTTTGTAAAAGAAGTAGTTTGCTATCGTAAACCAACCCTTTAAAGAACTGAAATTCAGTCTGGAGTAGAGATGTGTTGTAACCCAACTTAAGTGTCCTGCTGTTCTGATTTCCTGTTTGTTTTGTGGAGGTCGTTCAGAAGGATCATGTACCCAAGAAATAAAATTTACAAATATCATATATCAGCCCTTCATTCCTTAACATTGCTATGCATACTGTCCTTACTGTTCACTACATGTCCTATCACGGTAATGACAAGAGAATCTGTTTATAAGTTTGTGATTAATTTTTTTTTCTCACGACCTTAACGTTTGATTCAGGGGTGATACTGTGGAGAGAAATTAGATGCTTATCACTCTCAAGCTATTAAGGGTCAATGGCTGTTCTTATTTAGTAAATATGTCGGTGACAGTGATTGACGTTTCCATAGCCCGAGCGGAAGTCATCACCTGAGTCAAGCCTTCGACTCTGACGAGGACTTTCTGTTTATTTTTAAAACATCAGTCATTCTAACATTTTTTAAGACTGTTGAAGCTATGAAGCGAACATTTTAAAAGATGGTTAAAATATCCAACAAGAGTAAGATCATTAGATTGTCTTTTAATCATTTCTGATGATTTCGTCGACTAATGAAGAGTAACAAATCAGTCTTTTAAACGTCTTTGGGCAAATCACAAGTGTTAAGTTTGAATTTGTTTTCTGTTGATTCTGAAACGAATTCCGAACTTCAGCTTCATCACATTCCTCGGAAAGGTATTTTTGACAGCGAAA